AGAGGGGCTCCTTATATTTGTGTGGGTGCAGCAGTACTCAATTAAGCTGGTTAAATACGCACAAGGATACCTCAGCCAGCCAGAGAGGCTTTGGACTTAAAAGTCTCCTAGCAACAGGTGTACCAATTATGGTCTGCAGCTTGCCCCAGAGGAATGGCTAAAACATCCAGTCAGCCAGACACAAACATAGCCATCCTGCAATCTACAATTATTAGAAAAATAATATTTCAGAAATCAGGTAACGAAAATACTGAGAAGCAACTAGACCCGGCACATTTTTTAAATAAGCACTGAAACTCTGGTTTATCAATAACAAATATGTCTTTGGCAACGACTACATTACATGGGGAGTATTTTTTTGTTCAATGTTTAATGTTAAAAGTGTCCCATAAACACTGTTGACTGATGGACTTCTACACAACCACATTGTGAATATTTAACAATGTCATTGGCTCCAGTGTGTGTGTGTCTTTGCACAGAAATACACAGCATTCCTCTCAGAACTCACAGCTATGAATCATGTCTGTCAAAACAACTCAATGTAAACACTGTCACACTTTGCGTCCTTTGTTTGTCTGGCTACCGTACGTACAGACGGAAAAGGAGCCGACGGTTATGACCATTGCCAGGCACAGCCATACGACACCCCGCCTCTCTTTAGATCACTGGTCAACAGCTGGTCAACACCCTCCTCTCTTTCTTATTAGTGTTAGCTGGTGTCAAACTCCCAACACATTGCAGTCTCATGTTTTATTCCGAGCGATAGAGATGTATTTGCACCAGAGTGCAAGTTACTGTAACATTAAATTCAAAGGCATGTTGACAGCTGGAAATACACTCTGTTGCTTTGCCTGCAAGGTCACACAATGATACAGTAAAATTAGCAGAGAACACACACAGTATCATAACAAGATCATTAAACAAAATCTAAACAATTCAGACTTTGCAATAGCTGATTCAAGTGCACAGGCCTGGGGACATGTGACAGGTTTTAATGCTGATAGCTGCTTCATATTTTCTGTGTCTATGCTTCTTGCAGCTCCTACATCATGCGTCTGGAGCCCAAAACCACAGGTTAGAAATCACTGGCTTAAAACTGCTTCTCAACTGAGCCATTACATTTTACACAGACATGCTGAACAAATTAACACAAATCTGTTCTCTGGGGAAGTCTTATGCTATAACATGTGGATGAGATTCACTGGGTGAACGATGCCCTCAGCATTTTCTTTCTTTCTTTTTATCTAGAGGAAATCCACAGACAAACAATATTTATTTAATTATAATCGTTATTTAACTAATAGCTGTCTGCATGTTTGTTGTGATGTGTGGTTTTGAATGAGGGAAATCTGTGAGAAAGAAAAACTCTCACTGTTAGACTTGACTAATGACAGTAAAATCTGTCGTAGTCTGACCTAGGATAAACCAACTATATCATTTACAATTTTATGCTGTAACTGTAGCTTTTAATATAATTTTTTTTCTTACACAGACCCAAGAAAGAAAGCTATTTTAAAGTAGCCTCATAGTTTCCACAAAACCTGTTGAGTGAAACATGTGTTAAGACTCCCACCTAAAGATGACTAAGTGATCGAACAACAGAAGTCCACAGGCACACAGGATTACAGGCCCATGGCAGAGACATGTAAGTTGTTGGGTACAGTGTATGTGACTTATGGGGTTACCTTCTAAGAGAGTTGATTGAGCTTTTATGTAAAGTATATATGTCTATATTATTGTCAGGGGACATAACTGCATAACCTTGTTCTTAATTGCACAGCCATGACTTGGCTAAAGGCCATTGTGCTTTTTGCACAATAAAAGGTGAAAAAAGGGGGACTCACTACTGCTGAGGGCTTCACCTGCTCAAATGTTTCATCGTAAAAATACAAATACTGAACTTTAACATGTGAACATGTGAAAGTATTCCAGACTCCAAGCTTCTTCCTTTAGGCATTTCTTGTTTTTTTCTGTTGACACAGCAGCTCAGTGGTGCACTGATCTGGGCAACAGCGTGGCCACAAAAGGAAGTCATCACCAGATCCAGATGGCAGCTATGGCATCATCTGGTGACATCACAGCACCACATTTAAAACCAAAGGAGAATACAAGGTCCCGCTGAGTCCAAAAGACATAAAGCTACCATCAGTAGAATGAATAGAAGAGAAACTTCTTAATGTTGCCAACAAAATTACCAGTAAAATCTGATCAAAACATTCAATCTGCATAATCAAATTGTGTGGCAGAGAGGCTGGAATCACACAGCCATGCACCCTTGTCACTCTGCCAGAAGGAATAGCTTGCTTCACACCTACAGAGCACCTGGGAAACATAATATATGCATGCTTTTTCACAGTTTCAAGTTGTCTGACCCCTTGTGTCCAATACTGGGTCAAAAACAGTGATCAACTTTGAGATTCACTCCAATAATGTCCACTGTTTGTTGATGCTTTTATTACAATTGAACCAACATATATCTGACCTAATATCCAGCATAAGGTTTGTTGTACTCTACTAAAGAATCTACGATGACATCACAGGGTAACAAAAATCACCTTTAAATATGGTGCTTTTTGCATAGTGCAACAAAAAGAAGATAGCAGAAGAAGACCAACAATAGAGGAGTAGGTATTTAGTAAACAAAGACTGACTGTAAGACCTGTTGGACAAGCACTGATACTATCTATCCTCAGCTGTTCATTTTATGTTGACGCTCAGTATTTGCGTGCACATAGGAAGGAACAAAGATGGTTAGTAGAAGTATATCCTCAAATAAATATCTTCTTCTATTGTTATTACGTATAAAAATCAGACACTTTACCAACTGGCACTACAATGTAAAACGTGGAGCAGCAAGTTTAATAGCTGAATAAAGAAAATGTATTGTAATGTAGTTTGATACTGTATTTACTCTATAATCAAACACATAATAAAAAAACAGAATTCCTTGTCAAAGTCCCCTACTCCTCCCTCCCTTTCTCATAAAACTCATTCACCCCCACATTCTCTCTGTCTGTGCACAAAGCTCTGCGAACCACTGATCACAAAGAGCATTACAACTGAATGCTGTTTGTCATTTTAATCATAAAAGTCCTTTCCATCTCTGATACATATAGATTTTTTATTTCAGCACCGGGGGTTTCAGCATTCTGGAGAAAGTCTACAGAAGAAATGCTGTTTTCTTTCACTTTTTTCCAATAATGCAAACGATGCATTCAAGCGATATATGGTATAGCCACCAATTATCCTTAGAACATTGAAACATTATGAAATATGTTTGAAGTAAACAGAGCAGAGTCTGCTATATTTAAGACTACAGAAGAACTGGTTGTCTGGGCTAAGCATGTAGGTCCTGTAAACCAGATTCCAGCTGAGTCTTAATCACTGTTGAAATTGCCTTGTTTGACCTCAGATATAAGATCAGTACAAGCTAGCTACTGCAAGGAAACTACCATAACCAAACAACCCCCTCTGGGGATGAGGAATAAGGGCAGGCATGGCAAAGGCTGGCTAAATTATGCATCGACACATATGGCAGGATAGCAACTTGGTCTAACTGAGGTTGAAATGGTTAATGATTGGCCTGGAGGGAGTGTATAAATGAATGTATTAGGATGAAGGCTGTTTCTAAAACAAATGGCAGTGATTTAGGCCCTGTTTTTGTTTGACAAGTTCTGTTGTTGTTTTTTTAAATTGTTTTATCATGTGTATATTGTGCAATAATGAGCTGTGACTGAGTTTACCTCAGGACAAACCAAAAGCTATGACAACACATGCTGCATGCACAAAATATAACCAAATAACAATAATTACAGAAAATTAAGATGTGCTTTAAATGTAATTTGACAGATTTGACCACAGAAATAATGGTTTTCTATTGCATTCAGTGTCAGTGTCTAGTCTTGTGCACTTGGGCCCAATAATATACTGTATTTAAAGCCAGAAACAAAAACTAAACAGGAAGTTTATGATAACATTTAACATTTATCTATTCAATTCAACCATCCAAAGGCTGATAGTGCAGGTAAAGTAGAAACATGTTGGAAGATGCACTGAGGATAGTAGACAAAACGTAGTGATCCCATTGGGCAGGATATGAGCAGCTGACCAAACTGTCAGGCTGAACTCAGCAATTGTCGGGTTTCTCAACACTGGCCATTGCCCAGTTCTAAAGCACTGTCTTAATCATACACACAAAGGAAGCTTGTCACCGGCTTCTTGAAATATTAATGGGTCTGGAATCATCCACTATTTTGCTCTCTCTCTATCTTTCTCTCACTCTCAGAGGGAGAAAGCAGCCTCGGCTTCACATAGGCCCACCTAGTCTCTTTCAGGTGCTATCGAATGACAGGGCCGCTGACTGGGCTGTAGCGACAGCTCTCCTGACTGCCTGCTCGTCGTCCTGCTTCAACAGGTTGACTGACAGTCTTGCTGTGGGAACCGATCCATGTGACAATCCACGCATGCAAATGCGTAACACGAATCCTAAAATCAAATGTTTTTCTCCAACAACCAGATGATGTTTGAGCTATAAACATTTACAAATGCTATTTAGTCAAGTTTTTAACAATCCGATACTGACATTTATATTTTAGTTGTGATAGGTGTTCACATGTACCAACTGAAAATAAAATTTGTTGCAGTCACATGCAGAGGGCAATCCCTGCCAACTGGAAAACAAGAAACTGCTAAATTCAGTAAATAAGTTTTGTTCAGCTTGATTCTCTTCCTTTCATGTTTCCTTTCATCACTAAAGGCTGCGACAGTTGGCATTTTGGTCGTTTGCTTGACGCAGAGGGAGCTGGATGATAAGTGGCCAGTGCCAGAATCGAGTTAACACAGACAGTAAATCAGTCCTGACCTCAAAGGGATATTTAATCCTTAGCGTGGTAGAAACATCAGTGCTCACATTTTGTTTAATGGAGCAAAAAAAAGACAGCTGTGTAGCAGTAAGTTCAGCACCCCATGCAAGCATGTGGGAAAATGCCCAAATATGTTACCTTGACGATTGGGTGACCACCAGATGCTGCTTTGACGGCTCCTCGGCTGCCCTCGGTCTCATAGTGAGCTCGGTGGTGGGCTTTGGGTTGTACCTCTATCTTCAGGTCATATTGGCCAAACTGGCTTGGCAATGGCCAATCTAAGGGAGGCAGGGAGGAGGTCCTGGGGAGAGAATACCACAAACATAAACACACAGAAATACACGCACGCACATTACAATGTTTTGTTAAATATTTGGTCAAATATTGATTTGAGCGTGAAATGTTTGTGGTAGAAAAGACATTTTAGCCTTAACCATAAGAGTTTCCCACTTGCTTGCATAAACACACCTTAATATTTTCCATATTTCAAATGATTTGGTATAGATGTGTTGGTACTTGTGACACCAAGCTAGAAAACCTGTCTCTCTGCTTCATGTCTGATGACAGTAACAGGCTGCCTGGAACCATTCAAAAGTTGAAAAGGTGTTATTCCCCCTTCATGGCCTGAGACAGTATAATAGGTGTAAAATGGGGGTATACTTAGCCTCACCAGACAATGAATCATTGGAATGCCCATATACATTAATCATGTTCTTAAGCATAGCATGTGTAATAGGTCAACCTAAGGCTTGGAGGCTGAATCACATTCAAAGAGGGACTTTTCTTTTTGAGTCTCTGGGTGTGTGCATGCATGCATTACTAGTGTATATTTTATGTGCAGTGCACAACGTGGGCTGTCATTAAGTGTTTTTCCTCCCTGCCTCATTTTTTTCTATATATACAACAATCATATTTGAACAGCTGCACTCAAAAATACAACACTCAGTGGTCTCACAGAGAGACTGGGTCTGTCCATCTCTGCAAATCAGATCAGTTTTCATCTTCCAATTGTTGATGCATTTGTTGATTGCCATTTATTTACTCATATCAAAGCTCATGATCTTTCACTATAGTGAAATATACCTCATTAGGTCTAAAAACCCAGGTTTTATGAAAAATATGGCCTCTAATGAAAAGGGCTTGGAGAAAACTTCTGTTGGGATTTGGTGCTGCATAAATAAACGTGGCTTGACTACAACTATCTTTAATTTTTCAATTGTTATCATCATTATCTTGACATCTTTGTCATTTTCATAAACATTGTATGTGTATGTCAGCTTCAAATGTTACCAATGTTCAGAACTTGGTTCATCTACAGATTGACTCATATTTGTTAAGTGTGTTTTTCAACATTAACGATGTTGTTTGGATTATATTATTAGTTTATTTAATTTTCTGCACTTTTGCTTTTGACAAGGTACCAGAACTGGAGCATGAGCCACGATGTAAATCCTTGTCACATCTTGATATTGTTCAAAATTCATTATTCATCATCCAAGAGGCCTGCTGTAGGGCAGCATAAGCGATGTATGTCTTCCATGTGTGATGTCTGGTAAAAAGTGCCATTGTTGTGTGTGTTTTTTAAGCATAGTAGAAAACACGATCAGATATTAAACTGTGTATGTGTGTCTATTCATCCGTGCATTTTGTGTGTCTACGTCTATGGCTCTGCATGTTAGGCCTGAGTCAGGGAATTGACTCAGTGCTGTCTGATGGGCTGAGAGGCAGACACTCTATGGTGCACACTGAGACCTGCCTTGGCGTTAACCACTGTAAGCTCTTTGTGCTCCCTGTCACATGATGGCATAAGCTTTTTATTTGGCTCTACTCAAAGACAGTTCAGACTGCTAGCATGCAAACTATACTGAGTCTAACATCCGTGATGGATTTTTTGACAGAACAAATATTTTTTTAAGGCAAAGTTAGTCCATTTTAGCCAGCGTGGCTGTCTCCCCAAATTCTTCCCTTTCCAAATACCTGTCAAGTGCTGGCTTTGTGCAGACGAATCTGATCAGACTGAACTTAAGAAATGAGTGCCACATTTTCAGTAAAGCCATTGAATTTCATAATCTATCCTACAGGCTGCCACTAAATCAACAGTAATTTGATTTTTTGTTTTTAAGCTTTTGTATTTAAGATTTCTGAAGCTCAATTAATCCTTTTGGTTAGAAGCCTAACTAATGCAGGGGATTTTCCTACCACATGAAAATGTCAAGAAAATCTGCAATAAATTGTACATAAATACTAACTAGTCAGGTCAAATGTGATACAGGCATGTATAACACAATAAAGCAGATGTCTGCTGTACTATATGATAGTCAATGTGCGGAGAAAGTACCATGATAAATGTATATTGTGCTGCTGCAATATCAAAATACTCAGTGGCTCTATCTAGGATGTATCACTCTGGCACGCGTAACAGATGCATCCTAACCCTCATGTTTTCCTCCCAGCATCCATGACATAACAACCCAGGAAGTGTGGGTTTGCATGGCTGCTATGGTAACAGGAGTAGAGGAGGACAGATGAAATATGAGCTTTGTGACGGAGCAGAGCAAGAGCGGCAGCCTATGTACTGACATAGCATAACCTTTCTCAAATGTCTAAGCTATAGTATAGGGGCAACGTGTCTAATCACAACTGCACCAACCAATTTTCTCTATAGTCTCCACCATTACAATCGCATCCAATCATTCATGTAACTTTGTGTCTACACATGTCACATTTTAAGTCACAAATCTTCTTGCAATGTACACATACCCATAAATATACATATACCAAACAGAGATTTATATTGTTTGTTTTTGATTGCATCATGGTGTAACAGAACCAACTGATACAACCCCTCACCATTAATACTATCAGTACCTCTCTGCTCCTTCATCAAATGACACTGCCACTATTCTTATCATAAAGGTTACCCTGCTGCAAACTACTGAAGCAGCATTAGATGATTCTTTTATTGCAGCAATGCAGTGATGACATGCTAGATTATTCTTTTGTAATCAAGGCTCTGCTTACAGTTGTACAAACTGTATTTGCTGAATAATATTGGCTTTTGGCAACCAACTGATATTAGTGCCATGAATATCTCATTATAGAAATTCACGGGGGTAAAACGAGCAGACTCTTGTCACCACCACAACATTAGTTTAAACAGAACTGTTAAAAAATAACTATTCTGTTAGACATTATTCTGTCAGGGGCTCACTATGGAAATGTAACTTACAAGGACATAGATGCAAAGATCAAACGGTGAATCATCAAAGTTGACCCTGTCATTGTCTGCAAAATGTCCATGCGAGCAAGCGTTTGTGTTATGTCTATGTGTCTGTCTGTCTGTCTGTGTGTGTGTGTGTGCATGTGTTGACCCTTAAGTTACTATAAGTGCCCAGTGCTGGTTTACAGAGTTTGGGGCCAGTGAACTCAAACAAGGCCATGTCTTCATCTGCTGCACACACTGGAGAACAGAAAGCACACTGCTCTCCTAAAACAACTCCATCATGAGTTTCTATTTGCACCCATTACTCTTTGTGGATATTGTGCCTATCTGTTTGTGTGTTGGGAGGAATCGGTGTGTGTTGATCTCTGTGATTCCCTTCACATACTAATAAATGAATTATACTCTACGGTCAAATTTATACTGCTGATACAAGGCTCAAAGTTCACTTTACCTGAACATTGATCTACAGATACATCAACTGACCTATTATCATCAAAGGTGCTATTTGATAGTAATTTACTGGTCTACAATGTTTACACTTGAGTTCTAGATCAAAAATGATTTTCAATCTTTATGACAGCTCACAACGATCAATAAAAACATTCCACACTGAGGTCTATTGTTTAGCCTTGACCCACTAATTGTTCAATTCAAGCTGGACAGCATGTGGTGTCTTGCCAAGCATTATTATAGGTATTAATAATTCACAGAAATACTGATAAAGAGTTCGTAATTGCCACATCACCTACTGTTTTTGGCTCTAAGTTAAAAACACCTTCAAGTTTTAGGATCATGCATCAGAGATGTATGACTAAATACTGTAGAAAGTGAAAAGAACGAATGGATAGCAACTGGAATTTTGTGAACCAGCAGAAATATTGGTCCTCATTGCTGTCGTCAGAGGATCAACCACATGAATTTTCCAGACACTTCATCACCCACTGAGTCTTCTACATCTGCATGAATCATTTGCTTTTGCTGGATTAGAAAACTGCATCTTTGAGATTAAGCTAAATTTGGATAATATGGTAAAAAGAAAATTCCAAAAAATGTATCCCGAATATTCTCCTCAACATCAGCAAATTTACCTGAATATGGGTGTGTGACCAGGCTTGGGTTTATTCCATGAGAAGTGGGAGGGCACTGAGAGGAATTGTTCCCCAGGCCCGTCTTTCTTCAGGCTGTGCAAGGAATCGTCTGAGGGAGAGTCTAGATTAGGCGACATATTTCCTTGGTCATCTAGCCCCAGCTCCCCTTTCCCAGACTGCATAGCTGTTCTATCCTGTGAGGTCTTCCTTGTCTTAGATGGGATGTCTGCCTCTGATGGGCAGCACTGGAAGGGCGACATGCCCACAGAAGGACTGCCAATCCAGGTGTCTTCTGTAACGCTGCCCCTGGGCGAAGGTCCCGGCGTGGGTGTAGGTGAGTGATGTGGAGACAATGGGTTGGGATAGCAGATGTCAGCACTAGAGTGACGCCTCTTCCCGCAGGGTGAGGTGGGACGGGAAGATGGCCTGGAAGGTGGCCGTGGGCTGAGCCAATTTTCATCAGTGACACTGGTGCGTGGCGAGTGGCAGGGTGACTGTCGCGGTGACAGGCTGATGGAGTGGGAGTGGTGCACAAAGGCAGGGTGGTGGTGTTGCCAATGGGGCTGCTCCTCCAAAACTCCACCGCCGGTTTGAGGGGAGGCACAGCCTGGGGAAGTAAGTGGGGAGCCCAGGGTAAACCGGGCAGCTGCTTCATTAAGCTCTGAGTCAACATCATCATAGACGTGTGAGAATGATTCACAGGAGGAGGCATCAGAGAACCAGCTCCTAGAAGAGAGACTGCTGCATGGGCTAGGACTGAGCGAAGAGTCCCGGTATGAGTGGTCCAGCCGCAAATACAGGTGGTCTCTGGATAGAGGTCTGTCACCGTGATAGTCCCCATCTGGGCCATTGGCCCTCAGATCCTCCTCATTAGGATCCATCTCCTGCTGGCAGCTAGGGGAGATGGAGGTGATTTGGATACTGGGACATTCAAAGGCCTTTGGTGCCTCCATAGGAGCAGAGGGCAGCAGAGGGGAGGAGCCATACTTGGAGTCTTGTCCCTCATAGCATGGGGGATCCAATCCTGATTTGTGTGACTGAAGGCGTGGGGAAGTGTTGATGGCCTGGGAGTGAGACTGCATACCATGACGAGGCAGGCCAATAGACTGGTGGTTAGTGACCATAGCCTGGGGCTGGCCCACATTTAGGATGTAGAACGATGTGTTGTCATCAGGTTCCAGATCTAGGAGAAGAAAATGAAAGAAATATCAAGACACAGCAATCTAGAGAATATTTTCAGTTCCTATAATTGTTTCCTGATGTTTCACTCTGAATATAAAATGCTGATCAACAACACTGTAGTGTATGATTAGTGTGGCAGTGATATTGGTACCATGGTATCAAAATTAATAACATGGATATTTGCAAATTATGGTGTTGAAAAAATATACAAACAAACAGAGGATTTCACCTGCACGATACAAGAATGGCAGAGAGAAAAGAAAACTGAAATCAGCAGCATGGAATCACTTGAATATACTAAAAATGAACATTGTCCTAGAAGATGGATACCCATTCTGCTAAAAAAGACTGGATAGTCATCACTCCATACTGACTTATGTATGAGTCCTGATTATTGCTTCAGTCCCAATCAAAACACATGAATATTTAAATGTCAACCATAAAATTATGTAATTTTCCAAATCACAAAGCCTGACAAGCCCCCTACATTTGCAGTGTGAGTCTGGACTTTAAAAGAGAAACAACTTCACCCCATAAGGAAACACACACACAGACACACACGAGAGAGAAATATATACATGATCATTACTGATCACTTGCTTTTACATCATTCCTTCTGTAAGTAATGTACTCATCCTGCTCCAGTCGAGCTTTCACCTGGTACTGCAATACAACAGGACTAAACATGAGCCGCTGCAAAACTTATCTGGTCACAGACCCAGGTGTGGTTGTGCCCTGAGTTTACACTTACATTACTGAGCCCAGTTTCAGGAAATTAGAGGCCAGAGTGTTGCTGGGTAGCAGGCAGTCATACAGGCATTGTTCCAAGAGGGATAACCAATGAACAGCACTACTCAGGAAACAAATTCACACAATGGTGCATGCTGTCGGCTGTCATCACAGCTAGCGCCGGCAGGCTATTTATACCAAAGGTCATCTGGCTCAGGCAGCATGTACACACACAAACACACACAACCACACACAAACAAACAGACAAAAGCTCATTGTCCGCACTGGCACTACTCTGTTAGAGGTTATTGATAAACTTCCACTGGATATGCTCTGCTGCTCCCATTGGGAATACCCCCCCCCCCCCCCCCCCCAAACACACACACACAGACACACACCTCCTATGTTTTCAGATGTGAAAAGTAAATTTCACACGCAGAAACACTTTAAAGTAAGAATGTCCGAACTGAGAATATATTTGTATTTGGACATGAAATATGTCCAAATACATCTGCATCATGAATGTAGATTTAGATTCGGTACAGGCCACAATTCAGAACTCGTAATTTTCTTTTGTACAGCAAAAAATATTTTACACACCCTACAGTGCCAAGTATAACATTTTTCCCCCCACATTTTACTGGCAGGCAAAATATGATTAAAAAAAAAATCCCACAATTTGATAGTTTGGTAATTACAGGGGCCCTGTATTTCAACCTCAATCTCATGTTATGCATGACAGCATGACATTAACTCTCATGCACAACAGTGCATACAGAGCAGGCAATTTATGGCTGCCTGCGAGGTTGGTAAAAAATTTTATGGATGTTCTGATGGCCCATGGACATGGTGACATTTATCCTTGTGCTGCCAATGGAGAGAGGGAGGGCCAGAAAAACATAAAGGTAGAGAGAGAGAGTCAGTTAAAGACCATTGCATGCAGCTCTCAAATGACGCAACAGAGTGATGCCATCATCACTATCATTCTTGTTTTTGTGGTTTTATCATTTGTCATTCCCTAATGCAAACAAAGTCTTGAATATCAGGCTGTCCACAAATTTGGAAAGAATGGGAATAATAAATCTAATGCACCGTCCCAGGGACAACAACACCGTCATATGATGCCAGTCACAGTCCTTCAAGTCTCATCTCGTGTATAAACTGCAGATTGGGTTGTTTGAATAAAGTTTAAAACTAAACATTTTATCTCTACTTGGGAGATTTGTGCAAAAAATGCCTGCTAAAAAGCCCACAGCACTTGACATTATACAGCCATCTACAGTAAAGTTAGTGTTAGCTCAATACGGTTGTTGGCACAAACACATAAGCAGTTTATAAGCCGCCTGTTTATAGTGCTGACCTGACACTGTAGCTGTGTTTTCTTACTGAAAACAAATCTTGCAATGGATTATAAAAACAGCTGAATGCCCCACAACAATGGCTACTGAGGAAAAGAACCAGTGTATGTTCATGCTCAACCGCAGCTGGCTACATGACTAGCTAGCCACAAGAACTTTGTGTGTCTCATAATATGATTAATGTAAGACTGCAATGAGATGGCATCCTCAGTTGCGTTTGTGCTCCAAACTCTATAATAAGCAATTTTAAATAACCTTCCACATACCACATCAGTGGTTTATTGGGATTGACCACTGGTCAGTCATCCCTAAATGTTTACTGGCCCCAGGCCACAGGACCATGGTCAGACCCTGCCATAAACCACTGTAAATAATAAATAACAATAAAAGTAAAATTCTGCAAACATCACCTAACATGTCACACCATCCATCCAGTCATGTGCAATCTTTGGCCTATTAAGTTATGACAAATACAACTTCTAATTTACAGTGAAAGGAAAAAACAAGAATCAGTTCAATTTTTAATATCCCTAATAAAATACCAAGATGCCCAGAGCAAAGATATAGGCCAATGAGCATTCATAAAACATCTAGCTTAGCTAAAAGCACAGGATAAAGTTGTGAAATCCTTACGCAACACTTCTCTTTATTCTGTAAATGTACCAACCTGCCTATGAGACACAAATTTGTTACATTGCAAACTGTGTAAATATTTAATATTTCAAATTCTTAGAAATATTTAACTTGACTGTCTTTGTTTGATTATCAAACCCATATAAATAGGCCATAACCTGGTAATAAGTCAATAGTTTGCTTTCACATGTATGGAATAATAAGTCAAAACTGATTAACAGCATCGTTAAATTAGTCATTGAGGCTAGTCTTGAAGAAGCAAGAAAAAGGGGTTTGGGGAGAAGAGTGTGTATCTACAAAATGTTTCTGCCCTCTCTCTCGTTCCAAGAGCAGCAACAGAGGCAGTAGCAGCTAGCAGGCTCTTTATTTATAGCTGTTTGGCTTTGCACTGGCCATGCCTGCCTGTCACAAGACTCAGCGGTAGATCCTCTGACGACAGCATCTGACTGACTGACAGGGAGCAAGAGAAGGACAACAGAGTCAAGAGGAAGAGACAGAGGCTATGAAGATTAGATCTGCTCACTCGCTGAATTGTGAAATAGAGATACATAGAGAAACACCCTACTCACGATAATACAAGAAAAGAGAGAAGGAGAGAAATAGTGAATAGGAAACAGAGGACACGGAAGTAAGACAGACAGACAGACAGACACATACACTAACACCTGAACTGAGGGCAATATACATAACCATTGCTGAAATATCACCCCTGTCCTCTGGACTGTACACAATACCATGCTCACAGAGAACAAAAAAATCACCTGTGATGTAGTAAAAACCTGCATGTCATTGCATAATGATCTAAAAATGAAACAGCAAATCCACGTCTAGTAACTAATGAAAAAGGAAAAACATATTTAGGGTAGAATATTGAAAGTAAATAGCAGCATGATTAAAATTCAAATGTAGAAAATAAATTAAGCAATACTGTGTGTAAACCCAATTTTGTAAAACTCAATAGACAAGTTTCTTGTTTACAAACATATCTGTGGGTAAAAATGCAAATGCCATTTCAGGGTTGGATCTGTGTTGGAACTAGCATTGTGCACACAGCATTGTGATAATAGCTCAAATATTTTCACAATATAGAAATAAAGCAGCTCCTGGAAACCAGTGAAATTATTATTTGGATGGGACACATTCTTGTATTGCTCACCTCTTTATTAAACCACGCACCACCTTTGATATGCAACTCTAGCTGCTAGCATGACACATGATCCACAGAGAAACAGAAGCAAGTAGCTATTCACAGACTTCATAAAATCCAGAGCTGTGACCGGAGAGTCTTAGCTAATAGCTAATTCTGCTCTGAGCTAAAAGGCAGGTTAACTTATTAGGATTATGAACATTTTCCAGCCATTAATTTTGCCATTCACACAATAAAGCCCTCATTGATTATGGGATGCTGAGTGACTCCTGCATATTGGAGGCACCAGTGACTTTGCTAGATTAAATGCAATGAATGGCCCAAATGCACATTAAGAACAACAATCTACATTACCATTAACACAACCCTTAAAACATATGAGAAAACACTGCTACATGAAACATATTTCAAGTATAAAGCAAGTACATATATGAAGATTGTAGTTGACAAGGAGGAGCACATGCATGCAGCAGGAAGAGCCTGCAGGGATTAATGAGGAGTTTAGAAGTTGAATACTGTATGGTAGTACAAAATAAAAGTGGTGTTTGTGTGGATCAGTGAATTGATGTGCCATGCATAGGTTTTTAGATTTGTATCTGCCTCATTCAACAGTCCTACAACTCATATTATAATTTTCATCCCTATAGAAAATGCATATTCACCTGAAAGGATTTTACATTAAATGTTAAAGTTCATCATGTAAAACGTGAATTATCAATATAATTTTTCAGAGTCAGTTTGCCTCTCTGGTTTGCTGCTTAGCAAAAAACACAATAACACAACCGGACTAATTTTAGCTCTGCTCAATCACACCAAAACAACATTGAACACAGATAATTCAGGGCTAGGCTGGGCAGTCCCAGGTGCACACTCAATGATGAGCTGCTGCCATTGTAAATTAGGTGCTAATCACACACAAACTGAGAGTGAAAATTAATGAAAATTGCGGTGAATGATCCGTGATTTTTTGCTGGTAAATCTGGCACTGTGTTTTCATGTGGCAATGTTTTTTTGTGAAACTTAAATGGGAGTTAAGTTCGTTTATCACAAGTGGATGAAATAAACAACACAAATTGCTTTAAAATGACTTGATAATAGTAAACAGTTTTGGCCTTGTACAGAGTTCCTCCACAT